CAATTACCCCACTTGTGACCTTGATCTCACAACAGTTATGTTTGCCATGAAGATTTGGCGACATTACCTTTTTGGTGAGAAATGCCACATCTTCATATATCACAAGAGTCTTAAGTATATACTCACGATAAAGAAGTTGAACTTGAGACAACATGGATGGGTTGAGTTACTTAAAGGCTACGATTGTGTGATAAACTACCATCAGAGTACGAAAAACATTTTAGTAGACGCCTTGAGCAGAAACTCAAAGTCAGAGTTGCAAACTCTCCCACCACAGTTAAACTTGTTAGTGAAGGTGGGTTATTAGCTGAGTTGTGAATTGAGCCTAAATTAATAAGTGAGACCAAGAGATTATATAGTTCAGATGATCGTTTAAAGGCTCAGGTTGAGCAGGTCCGCCTAGGCGAAGCACTAGATTTTGAGTTATGTGGTGGGGATGTATTGCACTTTAGGTGTCGATTGTGCATACCCGTAGACTCTCTATTGTTTAGTAAAATCCTCTATGATTCACATTACAATCCACTCTCATTTCATCCAAGTAGTAACAAAATGTACCAAGAACTTTGATAGTTGTATTGGTGGTTGGACATGAAAAGGTAACTGCCAGAGTATATCGCTAGGTGTTTAGTGTGTCAAGAGGTTAAGGCGGAACACTAGGTTCCTTTAGGATTACTTCAACCCATTCAGATTCCTTAATGAAAATGGGATAAAAAAACCATGAACTTTATGACCGGGTTACCCATGACCAGACAAAGTAAGATGTAGTTTAGGTTATAATTGACTGTTTAACCAAATCAACCTATTTCTTTCTAGTTCAGATGGATTATACCTAAGAAAGGTTAGCTCAGTTGTGCATCTGTGAGATAGTGAGATTGCATGGAGTACTAATTTCCATCATATCCGATAGAGATCCTCGATTCACTTCCCAATTCTAGAAAATCCTTTATGAATCCATAGACACCAAACTAAATTTTAGTATTACTTTCCACCCTCAAAAGGATGGCCAACCAGAACGTGTCATCCAAATCTTAGAGGACATGTTTAGGTGCACCATTATAGATCTTGATTTCGATCAATCACGAACTTTATTTTTCTAAAAAAACTTCGTTGAATAAGAGAAAACCGAGGAATAAAGAACAAAGACCTTGAAATAATCTTAATAGATTTAGTCTTTCTTGAGGTTTCTCGATGAATATCAACAATGAATCTTGATTTTTTCCCCTTTTATTAATTTATTTTTATCCAATGTTAGATTTTTTTTAGTTTTGTATTCAATTAAATGACCCGAGGACTCGATCTGGATTTCCTATAGGATCCATGTATTCTCAAACAAGTAGTGGATAATTATTTTGTGAGCCCTCAAGATTGTTAAAAAAATCAATTTGGTCCTTTATTCATCTTATTTTTTTTCTCTTTGAATTTTTATTTTCTTTATTTTGTTTTAATTTATTTTTGGATTTCGTTTAAGGAGTAGTCATTTGTATCAAGAGTTATTTCAGTAACTATGATAAGTATATGGTGTCGGTCTATCCAGTGGATCCTCTAAGGCCACTATACCTTAGGTGGTACGATGAGAGCGCATATTGTGAATATCACAGTGCTGTCTTGGGGTATTCCATCGAAAATCGTCTTGCCCTTAAGAGGGTCGTCTTAAGGTTACAAGATAGAAATAACATTCACTTCAACGACTCGAATATGGCACAATTTTCTAATAATAAGGAAGCATGATTTAATGAAGGATGATGCATAAAAAAACTTGATAGGTCCAGAATCTGTCCATTACCGCGAAGTTATGCCCTAGAGAATAATGTCTTCTTTGAATGTGCTTTCTACATATGAATATTTTTTTGTCATTGAATAAATATGAGAAATAAAGTACATTATAGCCTTTTGACACGTGACGAGATTGAATTCCCTAAAAATAAGATCCATACCTTTCAAACGAAGGTAACATTTTTCCCGCACAATGAAGCCGTAAAATACTCAGGAAGCGGACAAGATTAAGCATTTTTTATACATGACATTGGAAAACCTATTAAGTTGCATAATTGTTAAGGATGTTCGGTGATGATATATAATTTTCAAAAATGGAATAATGGAATAGACAAATTTGACTTAGGTTAGTTGCTTGGAAACTTAGCTCTAAGGATGAAATTTCCTAACTTTCACCGACACTTAGACTATAACATATTCTTCTTGATGAACTTAAGAAATTTTTAAATAAAAAACTCAATGAATAATGTGATATTAACACAAGCTATTTTAACCTTGTTGGGGTCACTCCACTGAAAGTAGTAAGCTGTTAATCTTTGCAAGTAATGTCTGAAACAATTATGGAGGTAATATCTCAGTTTTATGAAGTGGGTATCATTCGAGTTGTCAAGTCAATGACTTTCTAACACTTGAATCCTCTAATTAAGGGTATTCCACTAAAGTAGTGGGCTATATCAAGAGCCCTAACTTTATGAATAGGATTACATTCATATCATGACACTAGTCTCTATGTGTCGAGATAAATCTCCCAACAAGATCAAAAGCAATCATAACGAAATATAATTTAAAGAAAATTGGTAAGGCCTAGTGTAAATGTGATTTGTGAATGAGTTTCAATGAAAGGTGGACTAAAGGAGTTAATAAACATATGTTATAGTCAACTACAGAAAAGAACTCATGGGTTTCATTCTTATATCGATATTTCTGTACTATTTTGCTTAAGGAGTCTATGAAACTTGAACAAACAGAAGATTCCTAAGAACTGAAACATAAATGCTCTATAAAAGATCTAGCAGTAGAGTGTACCAATTGCGCTATTTTGTTCGCATCCTATTTGAATGTCATGCTAGAATAGTGGGGCATTCCAAAAAACATTCACAAAAACCATGAATCCCCGATAGTAAAAACCAGGGAACTAAGACAAAGCCAAATCACATTGCCTTCCCAAATCACACATCGATCTTAACACTTGTCAAAGGGCTATAATTTTTGAAATAAATATGTGTGATTTATTTATTTGATATATAGTGAACTGATATTTTGCTTCAATTTCTTTGACATCATTTTCACACTAAACTTTTCAATTTTTTTGAAGAAAAAATATTTTTCAAACAGGACATATTTTCTTGAAGATTTATTGGAGAACATAAAATGAAGTCGGGCATCTCCAGAATCTCCTTCTTCCCCATCACTTGTGCATCCCTAATGTACTCCCTAATCAAGGCTAAGCCTGAAGAAGAAGTGTCCCTTTACTATGAAGATGGTCGCCCGATAAGGTGCAAGAGATATTATATTGATATTTAATGATGACATCATCCTTTCATTAAAATTTAACGACATACTAACTTAAATAATAAAAATGATTAATCAAACGATTAAAAAAATAACTTTTTAGTCAAGTAACTGAAATGTAAATTAGCTGATACTTGAGTGACTGTGGATGTAATTTACCCAAAGTATTAATTTAATTAACTCACTCGTATGAAGAAACTATTGGCAAAGAAAAGGGATGAGAATTGCAATAAGCCAATAAGAGAGTGGGGGTTGACTGTCCAAGGGCTCGCTCCACACCAATATTATAAAGAGATTTTTCACATTGAAAGATCTTATTAGAATATTCCATGGAGAAACACTTTGAAATTGGGTTATTTGGATTGAATTATTTCTTGTTTCCCCTTTTAGTATGCTTTATGAGTCTCATGCGTATCACGCGGCTGCTGCCCCCTTTATATATAAATATAATTTTCTTACCCCAACTTTGAGATTCTTCTAATAAAAAATCTGTATTTATCAGTATATCTTGATTATGTTGCACCAACTGGTTGCTTAAAACCAAGTCATTATTCCAAAAGTTTATTAATTGAAAATACTAAAATAAATGCTGACAAAGTCTATGAAAAACATATAAAGGAAAATATTGGGCAAACAAAAGAGTTGTATATGAAAAATCAGTGAAGTTTTTAGACTCCACGCATATTTTATTTAGCGTGTAATAAAAAATTAAGCAATAAATGTTTTATCCCGTTATACAAGTTAGACTGCAAAAAGGTACAAGAAAATTTGTAAAAATATTGCAAGTGATAAATGATATCCCATTATTGAATTGGATGATTTAATTAATTTTAATATTAGGAATAAAAAAATATATTTTAGAAAACATTTTTATAATATTGTAATACTCAATTTAAATTAAATTAATTAAATAAATAGATGTTATAATTACAATAATTGAAATTTAAGATGAAAATATTGCCGAGACATGGTCGTCGATAATATAATCGAACAGTGTTTTGAGATTATCTAGTTCTAGTAGCCTCTACACAGCGCTAGATAGATGGTAATTGTACACATTCAAATTCCACCACACGCAATAATGGCGTCGTTTTCCTTTTTGCTTCTTATTAAAACCGCGTCATATCCGAACGATGCTAATCCCTTTGGCTTCCAGGAAAAAGCAACCCACAAAACACACATAAAAGTAGGCTTTCTCGCCATACAGGATAGCGGAGAAAATGATTTTTTATTAATATCTATTATATTATTTTTTGAATTAATTTTTTTTATTAGTCTGAACACGTCGTATAATTTTAAGGTCTTTTTTTTATTTATGTGAAGAAGACATGCAGTCGTGTAATCTTCTTTATTTAACTGAAGATGTCATGTAATCTTAGAATCTTCATATTTAATTTAAAGACACGTTAAATACCTAACGTCTTTAAATTAATATTATATAATTCATCCGAGGAGAAAACAATCCCTAAAATAGATTATATTAAAAAAATTCTTATCATTTACTCCATTTACTCGGTCATTTTGTCCATAAAAGTAAAACATGATTAAATTATCTGTTTTTTAATATTTTATATTCTTATTACTATAATACCCTATGGAAAACGTGTCTTCGTTTCTCCTGTTGAAATGTTTGTGTCATTTTTGAACGGCGTTAAGGTATTAGTGCGGCCTTACAATATATTATATAAAGGATTAAGTTGTTAATTAATTCATAGCCTAACAAAATTCAGATTTCTTGTAGTAATATCTTTACTGTTTATTTGAGTTGCCATCAACATCTACGAGCTCTGAACCAAATCCAGATCCCCGAGTTGAAGAAAACTCATCAAAACCCGAGTTGGCACGCACAACTCTCCATACGAGATCCATGAGTGACCAGATGAGCTTAATCAGAACAAGCTCCATGGGTACCGGTTCTTTCTCACCCGACTCAGCTCTCCACTCGCCAAAGCTCCACAAAATCATATCCGGCAAAGAAGTTACGGAAGAAGAAGTGCAAGACAACTGGAGCAGTGTCCAGGAACCCAGAAAGAAGGGGGTAGTAAGGATGTTTGGTAGAATGAGGAAAAAGGGTTCGAGTAAGAGCCTGTCGGACTTGGAATTCGAGGAGCTAAAAGGGTTCATAGATCTGGGATTTGTTTTCTCGGAGGAAGATAATAAGGATTCAAGGTTGGTGGAGATAATCCCTGGCTTGCAGAGATTGGGAAAGAAAGTAGATGGGAACGAAGAGATCAAAGAAGGCGGTGGTGATGATAGGGCTGAAGTTTCAAGACCTTACCTATCAGAAGCATGGGAGGCTGCAGAAACTAGAAGAGGAAGAAGAAGAAGAAAGGAAAACCCTTTGATGAATTGGAGAGTGCCTGATGTGGATAATGAGATCGACATGAAGGACAGCCTTAGGTGGTGGGCTCATACTGTTGCCTCTACAATCAAATGATGATAATTCACCATTTCAAGGTTTTGGGGGGTTTTCTTATTGCTTTCCTCCCCCCCCCCCCTGCTGGTTTTAATTACTCGATACTGTATTTTTGCCATCGACTTTCTTTGGTTTTTTGTAAATAAAACTGAGATGGAATAGCAATTAATTTGCGTCTTGTATTTACATTTTAGTTATGTTGTGTGCAGTGCATTTTATTATTTATTTACCATGTTTCTAAAGTACACGCTTCTCAAACTTGAAAGCTTCATATCGTTTAAATTGACATATGAGAAGAAGATAATCCAAAAACCTTACAATTTGTGTGTGTCAAAGCATAACTCTTAATCGTTTTATTTTAGATAAACTTGTTCTCTCTAAGGTAATGATGCTGTTGTTCTCCATAGATTATATATATTTAACATGTTAATTAAATTACGCATGGAAAATAGTTGGAGAGGGGGCTGTTAGGCCTATGAAAGCAATGGATTCAGTTAATCAAAAGATTCGGTTGGATTTCAACCCAAAGCCGGATGTTCTATCTTATACCTCGAACAATAAGTTGGACATCGCTTGACATGTCTTTTTCTCTGTGGACACCAACAACCCACCCTTCAGGCTCGCACCAACCTTTCTTCACCATTACAGAATAATCATCTTCATCCCTCCTAGCAAATTCGCAACCTGGCCAAGCTTGTGATGGTTTTCCCCTCATAAAAACGAATACAAAGGATTGACCAGTAATAGAGAGAGGACCCTTGGCTGGAGTATGGTAGCACTGGGTTTGTCGAGGAAAGAAGAGATGATAGCTATCTTCTTTTTCTTTTTGTTTTTTGAGATGATAGAACCTGGGGTTCCTGTTTGCCACACCTGATGGAGAAGCCTTCGTGCCTTGCCATGATTGCAATTTTCTCATTGCAAAACGTGTTTCGAGTATGAGCTTAAGGAAGCCCGAAAAGTTTGTTTGCGTTGTGCTAATCCATACGATGGTATGCTTCTTTCGTTTCCGTTATTATGACTGTTATCAATGTGATTTTATGAGTTAAATATTTTGAACTCATTGATATAAACTCCTTAGAGAACTTGCTGGATGTTGTCGAAAAGGCATTCGGTGATCCGTCTACAATGGCAGCACACTCAAAAAGTCTCGGATATGTTTTGCGCATTTAAAAGTATTTTCGGTGAAAATATATATATACTAGGTGGAAAAATAAACTAATGATCCCAAAAATTAGTAACGTTTGAGGTTGGACTGAGTCATTTTTCGTGGTGGTTTATTACAGGATGTTGGTGTTCATGCAAGACATATCAACGGTGTGTCCACGCTCGATAGTGGTATGTAATATTATTTTCTTCCATAATGATTGTTCCCTTAAATAAAAGTTTAATCCAATTCTAATACTAGTGTATAATCTTTTGTTTTAATGAAGAAATGACCAAAGAAAATGGGAACCCGATTTGGAAGAACAGGGTGGAAAGTTAGAAAGAAAATAAGAAGAAAAAAAGACTGAACCAAAGGCTGAAAGAGAGGATCAAGTTCCACCTGAGCAATAGATGGAAGATAAATCGTGAGTTCCTTACCTGAATTTCAGTTGTTTATAACATATTTCTGAGCATGCTTTATCCATATACATGTATTTTATCATCCTCATGCCAAATTGATCTGCTTAGATCTTAATGGACGTGACGTTTAAGTATATTGGTATGTAATATTTGCTTTTGTAGGGCACCTGATGCTTCCCAACCCCTCTCGACCGTATATCCAATTTCAAAAGGCAGATTTGCACCGTACAAAACTGTGATCATTATACGGTTGATCATTTTGGGTCTATTCTTCCATTACCGAGAAACAAATCCCGTTGACAGTGTCTTTGGTCTGTGGCTCACTTCAGTCATATGCGAAATCTGGTTTGCTTTTTCCTGGGTGTTGGATCAGTTCCCTAAGTGGTATCCTGTTAACAGGGATACATACATTGACAAACTATCCGCAAGGTGCAATTCCATGAATCAGAACTTTTAGTCGTGCTTTAATCTGTGAATATGATGTGTCTGAGATGGATGTTTTCTATGAATACCATGGCAGATACGAAAGAGAAGGTGAACCCTCTGAACTTGCTGTTGTGGATTTCTTTGCAAGTACGGTGGATCCATTGAAAGAACCTCCATTAATCCACTGTCAACATTGTTCCTTCCATCCCTGTCGTGGACTACCCGGTAAGGTGTCTTCTATGTATTAATGATGGTGCTTTCATGCTGACATTTGAATCCCATGTAGAAATTGTTGAGTTTGCAAGAAAGTAGGTTCCATTTTGCAAAAAAAATATCCATTGAACCAAGGGCACCTGAATTTTACTTCTCACAGAAGATTGATTACTTGAAGGATAAAGTGCAGCCCTCATTTGTGAAAAAACGTAGAGCGATGAAAGTAAGCACTTCAAGCTTTCTTTAGCTACATTTCCCGAACATTCATATGCATATCTCTCATCAACAACTAATAATTTCATTTCAATTCGGTTCAGAGAGATTATGAAGAGTTCAAAATTCGAATTAATGCTTTAGTTGTAAAAGCTCACAAAACACCTGAAGAAGGATGGACAATGCAAGATGAAACTCCTTGGCCTGGAAATATCACGCGTGATCACCCTGGCATGATTCAGTATTTCTTTCGATATAGCGGTGCCCGTGACATCGAATAAAATGAACTTCCTTGACTGGTTTATGTCTATAGAGAGAAGCGACCCGGATACCAACACCACACAAAAGCTAGTGCTGAACATGCTTTGGTAGGTAATTGGTAGCACAAAACCAGCTTCATAAGGACAATTTAAAATTTTTTTTGCAACGGTTATCCTTAATAACAATCACACAAAAAATGGAACCTGAAAAAAAGTAAAAGAAAGAAATCAAATTCTTTATTTTAAAAGAGAATTACGAAAAGAAAAAAAAATATTCTTTTATATTTGATCTTGTGATCAAAATCAATTGAGGCATCTCATTACACAGTTTCCTTAAGACATAATTTTTGCCACTCCTTACTGCTCGAGATCTTTTGGTCGTCTGTCTCCTAAAATACAATAATTTGATGATTAACTACAATAACACAACAATAGAGATCATGAACTTTCCTTGCCTTAGATTATCACCAAAAAAATGAGAGAAAATATTTTCAAGAGAAGAAAACTTCTTGAATTCTGAGATATGGAAAACTGAGATGATTTCTCAGTTTTTATAAGGGAATTTCAAGAGAGTTTTACTCTAACTAAAACTCTTTTAATATCTAAATTTAAATGGATAATGATATCTTTTAAATTTTAAATATTAAACCTAAGAGTTTTACTCAAACCAAAACTCTTTTAATATTTAAATTTAAATAGATAATAATATCTTTTAAATTTAAATATTAAACAAATATTTCCTCCTTTTATTATTCAAATTAAATAAATATTATTTTAACTTGCAATATTTAAAAGGACTTTGAATTTAATATAAATATTAAATTTATCGATGTAATTCACCATTTTTTTTCAATAATCCCCCACATGAATGAAATTGATGATTTAATCAAAAACATTTTGACTCGATATGGTGATAGCCTTTACGATCGATAGTTGCATAGGATAGGTAGGTGTTCTCCTTTGAACCTTCCTTTGTGATAGTATATTTATTTTACTGGTTAAATATTAGACGAGATGTCCTTGCACTATTATGTCGTTTGTGTAAACAATGACATACTTCACACAACTACCCCTCTTACAAGAATATAATTCTGACGGGTATGTCCCTAAAGCCATAGACATCGCCTGGTTCTGCAAGAGTTTGAGAGAACTATGCACGATAGTCTCCTTGAAGCGGTCCCACTTCACTATCATATAGGTAACTTATTTTGCTCGGCTCACCGCAACAAACAATGGTCATTAAATTCTTATCTTAGCCTATACCACTTTGATCACTCTTTACATCATAGGAATGAACTTGGGATAAGAAACCCCCACAGTGGCCGTACACGAGTTATGCATTTAGGTTGTCCCTTAGAACTTAGATCTTGGAATCTACAGTCAACAAGGTAGGGTTTTCCTTCACATAACACCTTTAATTTTCATGGCCTTTAATCTCATTCCTTTAGATATTTTCTCAAATTGATCTCGATTTAATCCTTTGGTCAGCAGATCCACGATGTTATCTTTTGATTTTACATAATCAATAGCGATAACTCCATTTGAGATCAGTTGCTTAATGGTATTGTGTCGACGACGCATATGTCTCGATTTACCATTATACATAAAATTATGTGCTCTAGCAATTGTTGCTTGGTTGTCACAGTATATACATATTGTGGGCACAAGTTTCGCCCATTCTGGAATATTCTCAAGAAAGTTCTGAAGTCAATCTGTTTCTTCTCTAGATTTATCTAGAGTTATAAACTCAGATTCCATTGTGGATCTAGTTTAATCGTTTGTCTCAAGGATTTCCAAGACATAACTCCTCCTCCTAAATTGAATACATATCCAGTTGTACCTTTGATATCATGAATATCAGATATCCAACTAGCATCAAAGTATCCTTCAAAACTGCAAGATCTCTGGAATAATGTAACCCATAATCTCAAGTATATCTAAGATATCTCAGTATTCTTTTTATCAATTTCTAGTGATTTTCACATAGATTGCTCACAGTAAAAGTGATGCATGATCTCGTACAACTCATGAGATACATTAAGCTGCCTATGACCCTTGCATATTCCACCTGGTGAACACTTTCACCTTGATTTTTAGACAAATGTGAACAAGAGTCTATTGAAGTTATGCCTATACCAGAATCATCATTGTTAAAATTTTTAAGGAACTTGTCCATATAGTGTGACTGTGTTAGAATAAGGCATTCAGATGACCTTTTAGTTTGGATTCCCAAAATCGTATCGGCCAATCCATGTCTTTCATATCAAATGTAACACCCCCAACCCGTACCTGACCTGGATACGAGTCTGAGACGTCACATTGACTTTTTAAAACAATATTCTTATAAAATAACATAATATTTGGACTTATATTAAGAAAAT